CACACACATCTCTCTCACACACACACACCTCTCTCACACACACACACATCTCTCTCTCACACACACACATCTCTCTCTCACACACACACACACACACACCAGACACGACACAGCCAATCACACGGCTCTATTCACATGACATTTCACACATCACCAGAGCCAGCGCTAACAGACACACCGGTGTGACGCAGCAGACAGAGCGCTAGTGTCAGATGCTAACCTGACAGAACTGGTTTCAGATTAACATACATCACAATATGATCTCATGATGCTTGTTGACTCTGAGCCTCAGGTTCATGGGCACCTGATCTGACTGATGAAAACAACAAATCTTGCTTTGGGGAATTACAATTATGGCTCGACTCAATATTATGAGATACTAAGTCATAATCACTTAAATCAAAATAGTAAGATAAAAAGTCAAAATCCTCCAGAAGTAAAAAGTCAAAATAATGAGATACTGTCTTTAATATGAAAATAATTCTTAATTATGAGATACTCAGTCATAATTATGACACAAGTCAAAATTACAAGATAAAAGCTGAAATTATGAGATAAATCATAATTGAGATATAAAGTCAAGCTTGAGATAAGTAAAAAATATGACTAAAAACATTTACTTTGTCATAATTATAATTTAGTATCTCATAAGTTGAATTTATTCTCATAATAATGACAGTATCTCATGATTTTGACTTATCTCATAATTTTGAGTTTCTTCAATTATGAGAGTACCTCAGGATTTCAGCTTTTTATGGCTTAGTATCTCACAATTACAACATTTTCTCAAAATTATGACATTATCTCAGGATTTTGACTTTTTATCTCATAATTATGATTTAGTATCTCATAATCCCAACTCTCTCATAATCATTACATGATGTCGTCATTTAGATTTTTCCCTCATAATTATTACAGGACCTCAGGATTTCACCTTTTTAACTCATAATTTACATTTTTTTTTATCTAATAAATCCCGGTATAGTATCTCATGATTTTGACTTTTTAACTTACAATTACAATTTACCAATGTGTGCTTAGGTGGCTCCCACACATTTCTTTCTTTCCCCGAATGCACCTTAAACCATTTCTCTCTGCTCTTCTGAGATTCTGAGTTGGGATGTTTATGTAAATGAGCCCCAGGAGAAGCTCAGGAACAGGAAACAGAGGTCAAGTGTCAGAGTCAGTCATGATGAGCATTCACTCGAGTACACACACCGTCACACATGATCTCACACTGTAGAGACACGCCTGCACGTGAGCGCACTGATTCACTCACTAGATCACTGACGTGTTTCTGCTCACCTGCTGCTGCTGCTGGCTTTTGAGGTCTGTTCTGTGGTTTGACTGATCCCCGTCAGAGTGACTCCATCAGTGTGTTTCCTCATGGTTTCCCGTCGACTGAGCGTTCGGTTCAAGTCCATGGACCATTCCTGCACCCCACACACACACACACACACACACACACACACATTCATATCTTTTCTAATCAATGTATGAAACAGCTTTAAGCTTCTGGTTTCACACAGTCAAAGTGGATGGAGATCAAACTCCAAAATGACAAAAAGCACCATTAATCAAATCAGTTGTTCTTTGTAACACTTGTGAATTCATACCATGCTTTGTGTGAGGAACAGACGGAAATTTAGGACATTATGCTCTGAAAACCTTTCCCTCCACCACGGACTAAGTATCTCATTATTATGACTGTATTTCATGATTTTGACTTCTCAATTTCAACTTTAGTACCTCATGATTTCAACTCTTTTAATCACATTTAGCTT